AAGATACAGCTCGGTCATTTCACAGTGTTCCCAGCGGGTTTTGGACCAATTTTCCTTTCCCACTTTGTATTCTCTTATTCTAAATAGCTGATGTGCTCAAGAAACATGTTTTTCCATATATCACATAAGTAATGGAGGGTGTAGCTCTAAACAAGGCTGGTTGACCTGTATTGCCTGAGGGTGACTTGCAGTCTACTGGAATTAGGTGTAATCACAAATTTTGCCCAAACTCTAGCAGGCATCCTGATGGGAACAGGCAACATTGGCATGTCCAAGCCAAAGCATGTTCTGAATCTAGTTATCTCTGTGGTTTTGTGAGTTGTGATGGCATTTCATGCTAATATCCAGCTGACTTCCCCAGCTTCCTTTTATCAGAGTAAGCAGAGATGCATTTTCCTTCCTTGGAAATTCCCTGCACAACATTCATTGCAAATTTAACTTTCTTTTCTTTATGTCCTCTTCCCAGCAGGCCGCTCCTAACCTCCTGTAGGGGGGGAGAGAAGAGGAAATGGAGTGAATCGGGCAGGGGCCTGAGGTCTTATCATTGCCAGGTGTGAAAATGAAGGATGTGTATATGGGGTCAGGTTGAGAAAGTGAGATTTAAGCAAGAAGGAGGTTAGCTAGAAGCAAAATACAGATTATTCAGGAGAGTTACAGAAGCAATCTCCTTCTCACCAAAAGGAGAAGACAAGAAGATCCAAGCGAGGCCACTCACCTCACTGAAATGTTCCTCAAACAGGATATTGTCGCCTTCAGTATGCATGATGGGAGCTGAAATGGCATGTTCCAAGTCATAGCCGAACCACAGCTTGTTTATAATCGCCTGCAGTGAAACAAATCCCACACTGACTGACTGGAGATATTGAATAATAAAGAACTTGGGTCACATGCTGCCATCCTCTGCACTGGTGTTAAGCCAGACCAGTTCTACTGTAAATCCTGTCTGCAGGATGGTGCAAACTTGGACTGTAAGAGAGGCTACGCTGAGTCAGACCAGAAGTCCTACTAGCCTAGTCTCCTGTCTTCACGGTGACTAACACCAGATGCTCAGGGCAAATATAAGAACAGGGTGAGCACATAATGATACTTCCCAGAAAGCTTTCCCTGAGCCAAAGTGGTGTCCTTAAATTCAATAGCTACTGATCGATCTTATATCTTTCTATTGACACTTGTTCTTGCTGTTTTTAGATCAGGTCCTAGCATGGACTCGTTCCCACGTTTCTCTCTGATTGAAGAAAGATGAAAAAAAAAAAGTCCTCTTTTTCCTCTTGTGGCCTTATCTGTTTTTATTTCTTGACTGCTGAACAAGATGTTTGTTAGGCTTCATGCTTTGGCAAGCTCTGTTTCGTTAAGATTTGTTACTCTGTGTATATGTGTGGTTGTGGTTTTCTGTTTTTCTTGTTGTTTCCGTCACGTAACTTATCAGTTTATTTTGGGGGCCCCAAAGTTTTGGGCAATACCTCTCTTCCTAATAATTTCCTTAACTTGCTATTTGATTATTCTAACTTCTTCGCTTTCAAAAAACAATTGAGAGAGGCAGCTGGCACTTCCCACAGAAATGCTAGAGGCAAGAAGGTGAGGATAGACTGAGTCTGCAGCAGGCCCTCTTCACTGCTGCCTTCCACATAGCAGTACTAGCAGCAGCAAGTAATTCCTTTTGTTCAGGACAGCGTGCGCTCCCCTTGCTCAGTGGAAGGCATTCACTCACCATAGCAGTAGCACTGATAATCCAGGCCCCGCCTGCTCCTCCAATCACCAGCATGTCTCCTGTCTTGGAGATGAGAATGGAAGGCACCATTGCCGAGGGAGGCTTCTCTCCTAGAGCAGAGGCAGAGAGTACTGTTCCTCCCATGTGACTGTTAACGGACACACAAGTTTATCTACCTCACTTTTCTTGCATTCCCCATGGAAAACCAAGCTGCTGCTCATTCCTCAAGAAGCTCAAGTCTTCTCAAAAACTAGCTGCTTTGTGCTGAGACCCCATCTCGCAAGAAACTGGACCTTTATGGCAGAGGCTAAATAGGAAGCATCTCTTGGTGCAGGGCATGCTACAAGCATTCAGGACTTGCTGCAGCTCATTCAGCCCAGCCAAGGAACTATTAGCAGCAATCCTGCCACTGCAGTACTGATGTCCTCTCTCACAGCAGACCCAAGGGAGATTGCATCAGGGATAACTGATTTCACAAAGCAATGTCTCTGCATCAACAGTGCTGTGTTACAGAACTCAGTGTAAGCCTATGGCATTACTGATTTGATTGTGCATGCAACTATATACTTTTTCATAGATGAGCCTAAAAAATCAGCAAGCTTGTCTTAGCAGTATTTTCTTCACTTCCTCCCTCCCCTCTCCATCAATCAATGATCAGCTTCAGCTTTTTTTTTTTTAATCTCTGATTTCCCTGGCCAGAAACCAAAACTCCCATGTTTCCATGCAAGGCCATATGTGAGTAGACAAGACACATTACAGGGCTTTATCCTCTGTTAGTCTGAAACAAATTTGCTCTCATCCAGACCTAGGAAAGGAAAGAGTACCTGCAGTTTACAGATAGTCCCTTCCCCGTTGTACATGGCCTGCATATCCACCTCCTGGCCTTGTGTTTTATTTTGAGGGTGAGAATGCTCACCTGGTTTAATGCTTCTGTTTGCTATGCAGAAATCAGCGAGTTCATTATTTAAAATGATCCCGGTTTGGTTAGAATACACAAAGGAGCCAAACCTGCAGCGGGGAAAGAAGTAGCCTTTCAGTGACCAGTCCTCTCCTGTTGTGGATGACATTAACTGAACATGGCACCCTGTGGTTTACCTCTGTCTCCTCCCAGCCTGCAACTGCCCCAGCCACGGTGTCCAAAAGCTGTTTGTGCTGCTGTGCTGGAGCCAGAGATAAGCTCCCTGTTAGTAGTGGAAGTGAGGATTTGCCCAACTCACAGAAACTCAGCAGAGCTCAGCAAGTTGTTACATGTTCGTGAATTGTGATGTTCCTTTGGGCTGATGCTCAAAGGCCTTTGCTGTCACATGAAAAAGGCATTCATGAGTAAGAGAATGCCTAAATCTGTGAAGCCCAAGGGTTTTGCATTTCTGGTAAACAGCTCTTGCAGGTACCCTGTGAACCTGATACATGGCCTATGTGACTCAATTATCAAGCCCTTTGCTACTCACGGGTAGTTGATGGTGCTGGTGGCGGACACGGCACTGCCATCTGCAGCAAGCACAGAGATGTGGCTTGTGCCCTTGCTTTTGTATCTGTGGTTGTAGATGGACTCCAACAAGTTGTAATGGTTGAGTGGATGGTCACCATGGTCATCTATTCGGCTTCTGGCAAGCTCAGCAATCTTGTCAGACAGCATAGTGCCCACAGTCACCTGCAATCACAGCAAGGACACTGAGCTTGTGTCACTAAAGCACAGGCATGTCTTTCTTTGGGCACGTCTTTCTTTGGGCACAAGGAAGCCTGGGGGATTCAGCCCCAATAGTCAGACCTTGGGGACCTGCATTGGCAGAGCATTGGCAGTGTTCAGCCCCAGCCTGAATCCCCAGGCCACTCTCATCACAGAAAATGAAACAAGGTCAGTACTGAGGCACCTCAGCATTGGCACATCCTTTATCAGGCAAGTGAGCACCAGCCTACAGCGGAACAGAAATTGCAGACAAAGCAAATGGCCTAATCCTGCCTCTGCCTTGGCCAACTGAGCAGCATTGCTCTTGACTAGCAGTTCTAAATAGTTTCTTTCCTTCCATGGCTGCAAAGCAGGAGGGTGTCAGAGCATCGCTTGGTACTGTAGCATTGTGCTGGCAGGATAGTCTGGGCAATAGGTAGCCTGCTTGAGGGCTTAGCACATAGGTAAAATAAGTTGGTGACAATGCAGGTTTAAAAAAAAAAAGGCAGGAAATGGACTTCCCTGCTCCCTCTCTGTCAAGCAGCCATCTAGAAGAAGCTACCAGTGCTGTGGGTGTCTGTGGCTGCCCTTATGCACCATACTGGCTCACCTGAGCTTCGGAGAAGGCTGGGTCACTAATATGGGGTTTTAGCACATTGCCAAACTTCAGGGCCTCTGCAATGCGATGGTAGGTTTCCACCTTCTCCTGGGGTGTCGTCAGTGACGCTTCATGGAGTTTATACTCTACAGAGCAGGATGAAATAATTTTGTTAATAGACCCAAGGCAATATTTTTTGAAGAACTGTAAAAAAAAAATTTGAAAGGAACCTCCTTTTCCCATCCCAGTTCTTATCAAGTTTCCCCTATGCTTTAGCAGCCTGCGGGCACAGAAACAACCAAGTACTAATTTCCGCTGTGACTTCAATTCTTTTTGAAGCCTTGGGAAAATCATGTATCCTTTGGCCTTTGCAGCAGCTATAATGATGCTGACCCACTGTAAGAATGAGCCACTTCATCATCCTGCTGCATAGCATGGTCGCACTGCTGCTTTGGGGCCCATTTTGGCTTGTCAACTCCATTTCTCCCCATTAACTTTTCAACTGTTCTAGAGCAACACTCTTTGCAAACCTCTTGCTGTCCCTTTCCCCTTAGGAATTTACCTTCCAATATCTTGAGGATGAACATGAGCACAGCACCTCCCATGGGTGGTCCAGGAGAAAACACTGTGGTGTGATTGTTCAGGGTAATGTTCAGAGCTGAGGACACCTCTGCTTTGTATGCCTGAAGGTCCTCCAGTGAGATACTGGACCCTTCAACAGAAAACCAGATGGGTAGCTAGCATTAGCGCATTAACTTCTACTAGGTGCTATGGGCTGGCTACATCAGAGCCTTGGTAAAGCTTATAAAGAGCCATCCCTGTATACTCCAAATTTGTTCCACCAAGCACAGCAATGTCTTCATGTGTCCTCATCTACTGCCAAACCCCAAGACATTACAAAGCCTAAGGGAGTTGGAGACACCAGTGCGTGAGCACTGTGGGTGAATGCCAGAGCAGTGGGTGGCGCTCAGCCCTGCTTCTGGGCCTGAGTTATAAGAACTGGGGAAAGGTGGCCCCTTCCCATGCCAGGTACCACCCCAAGTGGCAAGCAAATGGCATGTGTTGGCTTTCTCCTGGTACCGACTCACTGTTAACCAATTGCTGGGAAAAGGCCTGTCTATTAGTATTAACTATAGCTGTTACCTACCAGCCTTCCTAATGTCCTCCACCAGGGCCTTTCCTATCTGTCCTTCATAAAACGCTGTAGCTCCGTTTTCTGCTACAGCTTTCAGTGTTTGCTGCAGCGCTGGCCACCTGAAGGTCTCTCCATGCTTCAGAAATCTTTGACCGTCACATATCAGTGGACTGTTAAAGAAGAACATCCATCAGTTTACAGCATGTGCTTATTCCGTCCCCAGGACCAATCTCTTTTTCATTCCCAAAGCTGGTTTGGTTTATGCATGTTGTATACTTTCTAAGACGGTGCTACACTGCAGTCTACATGGAGAAAAGCTCTTCTCAGCCGATTGCTACCCGTAACACCAGGCACTCTTGCCCCAGACAAAGCTTCCTCCACGGGACCTAATGCTTTGACCCTGGCTCAGGTCAGTGGAGCTTCTCCAAACGAGTGTCTGCTGTAGGGCCGTGCTGTCAGGGGATGGTTTCCACACAGATGGAGACAGGCCACATACAGCTAGCTCCTCCTCATAAGCAGATGTGCTTACAAGACAGTTTTGCTGTGCCAAGCCACTCTAAATTACAAAAAAAAAAGTTGCTGACAGAAAAAAAATTTTAAAAACACTTCTGTTATTCCCTCTCTCTCCATAGTAAGTATTTACTGAGCAGAAGCCGCAGCAGCAGCCTGCGCTCCATGTCAGCATGTCAGAGGAAGGGTCTGAAGCTGAGGGAACAGTGGTCTTCACACTGCAATTTAATTCATGGGTCTTACCACAGGCTTTTTCCTGGACTGGAGAAGGCTGGGTGATGGATCATTTTGTCCATAACCGGGGAAATGACAAGTGGCTGTGAAAGGAGCTTGATGGTTGGTTCAAATAGGGCTTTCCATGGTAAGCGGCCATACCGCTTATGGGCTTCTTCATACCCACGAAGTTCTCCTGGTACAGCAATCCAGCGTGAACCTGAAGAGCAGAACGGCAGTGTTACACCCAGTAAGTCATTGGCCTGTGGGTTTCACCCCACTGAAAGCACTCCAATGGAAGTGTGGATTTGTACAGGCAGGACTAAGTCTTCTTAAAGCAGGCTTGGGTTTTTTTCTTTCCTTTTTCTGTCCATATATTTCTTCCACTACCTAATAGACGGGGTGTAGAGGAGCTGGAGCCAGACTCAGAGGTGCACAGTGAAAGCACAAGAGGCAACAGGCACATGTTGCAGCAAGGGAGATGGCAACTAGACATAAGAGAAAATGCAGTCATGCTGAGCCTGGTCAAACACTAGAATAAGTGAAGCTGTGAAACTCTCCATCCATGGAGAAGTTAAAAAATGTGACAGGACAAGGGCCCAAGCAGCCTGAGCTAACTCTAACATCACTCTGCTTTGAGCAGGAGTTGGAGCAGAGCCCTCCAACTGTCCCTTCCAACCATAGTTGTTCCTGATTCGTTTTCAGGCTCTTCTTCCAAGCATAAGAACATCTCCTCCAGGAACTAGGACATGCCCCAAAAGAAAATGTGCTATGGAAGGAGAATGAATGCAGCAAGAAATGTGGAGAGATCCAAGATATGCTGCTAAAGCAAGAGTGCCTGTTGCCAAACCATAACAGCAAATGGATGTGGAGCCTCCTCAGATGGGAGCGAGGTGGTAGCTGAGCTAAACTGGAGCCCAGCAACTCGACTCCTGGTGCTGCCAGGTTGCTTCCCCAATGTAAGGACATGGGCAAGCGCACTGGATTATATTGATTTCTTTCATTTCCAGAAAGTATGAGCAGCTATTGACCTTATTTTTCTCTGTAAGAACTGCTGGGAAGAGTGCTTGGGGAAATATGGTCTTGAAATGCAGACTTCCTATGAAAAGAAATTACATAGTAATTTCTCCTCATGCTCTGCTCCCCACCCCCTCGCTGGTCAGGCTGCCAATGTTACTACGAAACACGAATTTTATGGACCTAGTATTTTTTCTAACATTTGCAAAAATCAACCCAGGAAGAGC